TGGAGAAGGAAACGACGGAGGACCTCTCGATTTGATGTTGGCTGATGCAACTCTAACCTGCTGGTTGGGTCAGGCGCATGGTCCATGAAACCGTACCCTACCGACGGTTCAACCACAAAATACCAGAACCGGTAGGCGATATTAACGGTACTAACGGTTGAACTACGGTTAAACCACGGTTTTACCATAAAATACCATACCGCTGACTTTGCCGATACGGTCTCCGGTACGGTTTCATGGACCATGGTCAGACGACGACTTTCAATGGGAGTGGTGTGAGGGAAATAGGAGAACGCAGCGACATAGGGAAGAATCCGGTGAAGATTAGCTGAAGTCGACAGTTACTGGCAGCTAAATTCGGTGAATGGTGTAGCTTTAATTTCTGAAATTGCTTTTATAATTAAATTCTCTTACTAATAAATCCCTCATGCATAAATAACCAAAATATTTAACCAAAACTTGCGTTTAAAATACTGAGATTTTGTAATTGAGTGATTATGGGGCAAATTCCTCATTAGCTAAATTCTTAATCCAAACGTATGTTCGGCAGTGGCGATGGTAAGTTAAGCAAGACGATAAGGTTGGGTTCCTTGTTACAATGATAACATATAAGATTGAGATTTATCATGCTTAAACTAATTAGGAGATGAATTAATATAACTTTAATTTATTTTTTAGTGTTTTTCCCTTCTCCATTAAATCCTCTCCTTCTATTGACTTAAGCATAGTAACAACACTTTATGTGTTATCATCCTACTTTACACCTAATCGCCTGATCAATATTTCACCAAACTTGTATCATTAATGGAGTTGAGAAGGTTGGGTAGCAGTTTGTGATTTGTGACTGTGGGTAGAACAGCAATCTCTTCGCAATCAGCGTCTATATGTTAAATCTCTTTTCCGATTTGGTCAAGCAAATCACATTTCTGCCCCAAAAGTCCAACTGCTCTGTTTTTCTGTCTTAAACCACTACAGCCTTTTCTAATAATTTACTAGTACGATTAATTACTTTTTGACACAGTGGTTATACTTATAGTCCACAGTTCAAAGTAACACCCAAATGGTTAGGTTCCCATAATTCAAAAGTCATGCACACCATGTATTTGAGAATAGCACTTGCCTCTCATTCGTTTTATTTTATTTTAAAATATTTTGTACAAAGAAAATTATAATAACTTTAACGTGCATAATTATATTCTTCATATATTTTGTGGAAAAAAAATCTAACAATATTAGGGTTGTGGTAAGATAAAATTTTAGGTCGTCTTACCAAAACCACAACACGTGATAAAAAAATTTATTTCATAATATATGAAATTGCATATATCTTAGTCTATAATATAGCTGATTTTTTTCCGAAAAAGAAATTTAAGATTCGAATCAAAATCCCCCAATAGTATATAGTACACATTTGTATACGTTTCTTCCTTTTCAATTTTCTGCTCTTTTCTTGATTTTAGGTAGGGATATGGTGGTAATTAACTTATTTAAACTAAATTGTAAATAACTATTTATTTAAACAATCACAGACCTGTAAAATTTTTATTTTCAAAACTTTCCATTTTTTTGGTCCCAAATCATCCAACTCCCCATATTCTCAGTTAGAAAGTATATTATTATGATAGTTTGATTTTTATTTTATCAGTAATCTTAATTTTTTAATCATCCTATTACAGTTTGACATATGCCACTCTTATTTACTTTTTCCTTAATCTCCAAATTATGTTTATCAAATCTTACTTCCTTAAATTTCAAAAAATAATTCAAATATTTCCGTGCAATAATATTAAAACGTGTTATCCTCTTGAAGATGTGGCCACTGTCGTGTGTCGTTACCATATTACCGTGTCTCAAATCTATCCCAACATAGTATCAATTTTAAACGGTTATGGTATAAATTTGTATCATGGTGGTATATTTAGATACCATTAATGTACATGATAGTTTCAGTGTATGAAGAAATTATTGATATCTTAACAATTTATTTGAAATTTTACAAAATTTGATATCATTATATAATCATAATTAAGTTGAATTTATTGGATAACACAGAATGAAGTTAATCAACTAGGTTAGTGCGAAGAGAAACAAACTTTGAAATAGAGACATTGAAGATGTTTGCTTTAGCTTGATGTTAAGGTTCAAACTCATGTGCTCAATTATTATCAATTTGTTTTTAGGTATATTTTACGCAAAGCAAATTCTTTTGGTTTAAATTATTGTTTAAGACTAAATTTATGGTTGAAAAGTTTATCTTTATTAATTATCTAGAAGGATAAATATTGTTAAAATATTTTACCATTTTTTATCTTAGGAATTGCCAAGAGTATATTTCTTTTACTAAGTTGAATATAATGAATATTTTAATAGTTGCATCTCACATATTTTGGGTACGTTATACCCTCTAAAATTAAAAATTCCGGCCAATGGCCTGGTCAAAAGCTAGTAAATGAAATATAGTAGATATGCAAGTTGCAACCGATTATTTCACAACCATGACAAACATTGTGTTGATTTGGTAAGGATGGGGATCTAGAAAAAAAAAAATACATTCAAATCGGTTATATTATATATATATATATAGAGGCCTATTGCTATTATATGAATTCACAGGGGTCAAGCTCATTAATGAATTATAAATAAAGTATATATAATAATCTTATTTAATTAATTACACTTTCGTTTTACCATGAAAAAATAGATGATTCATAAATAAATAAATAAAAGATGTTTATTTGGGCATGTGAGTGAAGTCGGTGTATGGGACCAAAATCCAGAGGGACAAGACAAGTGCTTAATTGGACGGTTTTGGGAAATTTAAATAATATTGTGGAAAATTGGACGTTGAAGCTGAAACTGAAAGTCAAAGATGGTCCAAAACAGACTTTCTGAGTTTCTGTAATGTATCTGTGCAGTTGTTTTTAACTTCGTGTTTGTTTGTTTGCTTGCCTAATTAATTAGGCCAACTTTGTTCGCGGCGAACGGCAAATCTCAAACCATTGGATCTTTGGGCCACGATAAATGGGCCGTCACAATCGGAGCAAATCGCAAAATCAACGCTTAACTCTCATAAATAGTTTTAGTTAGCGGTTTGCGAAGTCGTTAGGAGTTGCCATTAACAAGTTTGATATTGAAAGTATTGCCCAAATTATTATCTGGATTTACCAAAATTACATTATTTTATTTGATACGGATAATTAATGGGTTCAAGACTTTAATCTAAGATGTTAATGTTGTTTGGGTTGTCGGTTTGATTTTTGGTTATGGTTTTTCTTAAAGCCGTATAGTTTACCCTTTAGAAGCCGGGGCCGGATCAGTGCGTCGGCTCAAATCAAACACACAGTTTTTTTGGAAATTATATTTTGATACTCAATTTTTTTTTCTTACAATTTAGTATTTAAACTATATATTTTTACAAATAGGTCCAAAAATTTTGATGGTAAAATTATGTTTAGTACCTTTATATTTTTTACCTTGCATTATAGTACCTAAACTTTTAAAATTTTACAAACAAGTTTAATGTGTTGGTATGAGAAATTTCATATCACTAGTTGTTGCTAGATGTCATAGGATCAAAAAATGACCTGCAACTAAATTGAGCCGACCCTACCCAACCCTTACAGAGTCAAAAAAACCCAACCCTAAAGTGACAATGTAGACAACTAACCCCGCTCGACTCTCAGGATCGAGATGAATCGGGGCAGGTCAGTGGTCAAGGTTAAACCAATAGCCAATATTTTAATTATGCAAACCTAGTAACCTACCTTTAATACACAAAAATATAGTCCAACGTTTCAATTGTTTTTTTACTGCAGGAGCCAGTCCTTTTTTGAAAATGATAAACAGTCAAACACTTCTGTTATCCAATTTTTTTGTGAACTTGGGAAGGGAAGTTAACTTTTTGACATGTTAATGACAAAGACTAGTGTGTGAGTAAAACACATGTCATTGTGTCATTTACTGTTAATTAATAATATTTCCACTACCATCATGAGGCTCCACTACATGGTACTCTGGTGCCCCATTATATCCTATCCACACACACCATCCAAATTGTCAACCTTATTTTTGCATTCTTAAATTGTTAGTTATTAGTTCAATCAGTTCAGTTGTAGATTCTGATACCTTCAGTTCATTTTCGATACTACATAATCCAGGACGTAGAGAATAATTTAGTCTGAAAGATGCGGTAAAAAAGATTTAGAAGTCAAATATATATTATATATAAAATTATAATTTATGAGACTTTAGACTCATATGAGTTTTTATATCTTTAGTGATTGGAAATACTGTGCAAATTTCATAATGTTACTTCTTATTTAATATAAATTATAATTTATATGATCTAAAGAAGATTACTACATCGGGCACCATAGGCGAATTACAAAAAAAAAAATTTAAAAATTAAAAAGGGTGCCCGATTCCTAATGGAGGAAGGAGAAGCTAGAGCATAAACTCCAATTCCCAACCATGATCAAAACTGCAAATTTTTAGAGAATCATGAGCACAAAAAGAAAATAGAGGAAAAGATGCACCAATATAAGACAGTTCAATTACTAAATTGAAGCATTTGGAAAATTGGAGATGAAAAATCATAGCTAACGAAATAAAGTTTGGTAACCCAAAATTGTAGACTTGAGAAAACTAGAGATTAGACCTGCCAACGTGGTAAAATTTGTGTGGGAGATGTACATATTTTGTGGTTAATGCATTTGCCAATTCCTCTCTTTCTTTCTAGGTTTCACTTGACTACTATTGAGCTAATCAAAATCAAGTAATTCCCACTAACACCACACCAATCCACCATTTGACATTTTCTATTTAGAAGATTTAACTCTAGCCACTTTCTAGTGGGTGAAAACCGTATCGCATTGACTACTAGTATTGGTTCAGTTCAAATCTTCAACCGTATATCATTATGGGTTCATGCCAACTTCAGTTTCCAACACCCATTTTCTTTTTTTTTCTGTTGTTTGACCATTTGGGTCTTTTTCTAATTTCCCGTTCGATGTAGAGATTCAACAATTCCACCACTCCAACTGCATTGGTTAGGAGCATAAACATTTAGTAGCAGCCAATCACGCTCCCCTTTTTCCATGAAAAAGAAAGAAAAATCATATCTCCAGTCCCAATCCACACTTGTGAAGAAATTAAAAGCAGGAAGCAAAAAAGGAGAAATGGACGAGAAATCGAGAAGCTATTGTCATTTCTCAGGAATAAACAACTCCGTCTCTTCTCTTCTTCTATCCCCTCTTTTCATTTTTCCCCATTATCAAACTCTACAAGTCAACAACGATTTCATCAAAGTTAATAAAAAGAAGAAAAAAAACAGAGCATAGATGCCCCTCGACCCCTGTACTCGACACACTCTGCTTCTCCCTAAACCGAAACCCAACTACAAACCGAAACAAAGAAAATTAAACAAAGAAAGTCGATCATGAGATTGAGAAGGCAACATCATCAACCTGCCACAGCTCACATGTCTAATGTACCCCTCTGAACCCAAAGCATTGAACAAAAGAAGAGGGAAAAAAGCTCTGAATCGCTACGGAAATCGCCTCTGGAGTCTGGACTGGACAAACCCACCAAGCAAACAAAACAAAACAAAACCAACCTGTGTCCTCTACGATAAGATTCCACTCAATTGCAGGGTTCTGGGCTTATTCTCCTTTCTTTTTTTGTCCATCTTCCTGGTTTTTTTTTCCTTGGGGGAAAGGTTAACTTTCAGGAGCAAAGGAGAAAAGGTCAAGGCAAATGAGAATGAGGGCGGTGGTTAGACTTGGTGGGGTTTTCTTTCTTTCTATTTTTGGGGTTTTCTGTGGTGCCCTCTGCCTCTGCTCATGTTTGGTAGAATCAACCACGCCTGATCCCAGTGAAGTAATTGAAGTCATGGTGCTGGACCCTGAGCTGCTTCAGCCACGAATCTGCGACGCTCCACAGCGAAACCAACCTCTCCTGGTCTCGGCCGCAATTCCCCGATACCCAAACGTTGCCTTGCATCTTGTAAGTCGCCATCCCGAACGAAGGCAACGAGATGTTCTCCCCTTCTTTCCTCTTCCTCTCCGGCTTCTCTATATCATCTTCCAAATCCATATCTGAAAAAAGAGTTGCTTTCGTTAACTAATTGACAAAACCCATCACCCAAATGTCAATAAAACACCAATCTTTGGTGTAACAAAACGTTATAATATACCTTGGAAGGAGGAGGAAAGGGTGTGGTAAGTAAGGAAGCATGTCGACAAATCCTTGATTGTTCTTCCCATTGGTATGTGGTAGATTGGGTACCTATATAAACAAACAAAAAACCAAGTGTTGACACGATTGCCACAAATTGGTCACGGAAGAAGAGAAGACAAATCAAACAGAGACTTTGCCGTGAAGAGTTTACCAAGCCACAGCCATCCAACTAGCAGGGGAGAGATCCACACTTCTCAAAGACATCAATCCTGGGTATCTTCGAGCGAATCCATTAATCTGCAACCATAAAGATATAGTATTATTATACACGATTATTATTACAAAAGCATTAACAAAGGGAAAGAAAGGAAACCCAAAAGTTGTATGGCTTTATTTGCAAGAATGGACAAAAGTGATTATAGTTCGATGCCACCCCATTTGTTTCCTTCGATTTAGATAAAAGAATACAGCCAAAAATAATCCCAGAATTCTTCTTCTTCCGAACACTTGAAAACGAATTAGCATTCTCACTTAGATTGATTCTTGTTACTTCTCCCCCTCCCCTGTTTCTAATGAAAGGAGAATCTAAGAGCTATGAATTAATTAATCAATGAACAGGATACCCAAAAAAGCCGATTCTGATGAAGATGGTGCCGTTTTTTTGGAGCAATCCACATTGCTCGAATGAGTTGCAGAAGTTTTGGGAATTTCTTATGACCCAACAAAAATGATTCTTTATGTCCCAAATCTCTGAAATTTTCTGGAGAATTTTTACCTTATCCATCAAAGGGACTCTTCCATAAGGCGTGGATCGCTCGAAGTACTGGAAATAGAGATACCCCAATCTGTCGTTTAGATGCCAAAGGGTTTCCTGTTCGGAGCCACCTTCGTCGGACGAACACCCGTCACCCCATCTACAGCTCTCGTCGCTACACGAATCGCTACTCGTTTCTCCATCGCCCGACTCTGTTTCTTCCCTGTATCGACTGAAACAGAGGAACAGCCCCACCAAAAAAGCAGGAATTCAATGGAACAATATTCTTGATCATTAATTGCAGGGGAAAGTTCCATGTGGGTTTGCTCTTTTTCTTATAATTTTTTCTTGTCACCGTATTAAATGAATGTGTAATGTTACTAACGCACCTGAGACCGTTGACGGAGGAGGAATTGCTGGTGAAGATTTGGATCGCGGAGAGGTAAGGAACGTAGTACTGAACTAAAGTTTCTCCATTGTTCAAGGAAATGGGCACTCCGGCGCCGTAAGCGCTCCATTCGTCGTAGCAGTTCCAGAGATCGCCGAGGGTGAAGTACTCCACCGTTTCCCTCTCCCATGGATGCCATAGCCGATTCAAGTTCCTCATCTCCGACTGCAAAACAGAAACAGGCAAAAACCCAAATCATACACAAGCTTCAAAATTGAATTATTCAATTGAGCGGGGGGGAAGAAGAGAAGGACGAACCTTTGGCAGGGAATGAGATTCAACTACAGGGGTAGTGAAATGGAGGAAGCAATCGAGGTTCGATTGTGTTGACCCTTTTTCGGAAATCATTGTTTTTTAAAAAAATTAAAGGGCAAAAATAAAAAAAGAGAGAGATGTGGAAGGGCCAGAAAGAGAGAGACAGAGGAGGAGAGAAAGAAAAAAAAATTCAATTTCTCCCCCAAGCCTAAAGAAAACAGAGGGACTCGTTGAAGAGGGAAAACAGAGGTAAAACAGGGGAAGAGAGAAAGAAGGGGCCGGGAAATGGGAAGGTCTCTCGAGAGAATTTTTAGGGATTCCCCAGATTTGAGAGGGAGAAGACTGACAGACCAGATTAGGAAACGGGGACGAAGATGAAACGAAACATATAACCAAAAAAAAAAAAACTCTCAAATTTCTAACGTTTATCTCTTTTTTTCTTTTCGAGATAAATATGTGAAGACCAAAGGAGAGAGAGAAGAGGAGAAAAGGAAAGGAAAGTTTTCCAGACAAGAAAAGGAAAAGAAAAGCGAAACTCCCCTGTTTCTGTTTCTAACTTTCCGTTCCGGATAAGAAAGGCAACAGAATTTTCCGATTTGGGTATTCCGATCGAACCTCCTCGCCGAATAAGATTGTATTTGTAATGGGAACCCTGTTTCGCTTTCTCCGGACTTAAAGAAAACTCCAAGCTAATTTGACTGCTCTCTGGCTCTGCTGCTTTGATCAGTCTTGAAGACAACTAGACAAAGCGAGGAGGAAGGTAACAGAAAACCTCAATAATCCCTTGAAGCTAAATCAACACAAACCCACCCCCCAAAAAACGCGGTAATGACAACTACAAGCTAAGAAACAGAGCAGGGAAAACCAAACTAGGACTCAATTCAGTGCATTTCCTACAGACAGAGAGAGAAGGACAAAGGAGGAATCTTTCTTCGTATGACTGATTCCAGAAACAGAGACTGTTTCCCCCCTCTTAAGGATTAAACAATGATCGGGGTTTGCAGTGATGGTGTTGTAGAGGGATCAACTTTCCGTCAAAGGAAAGGAAAAGCGGCTGAGTGAGGAAATGGGAGATGATGAAGAATGTGTGTTGTTGAGTTGTTCGAGAGAGGGAGGGAGGGAGGGGAAAACTGCTAAATGGGAGAGCTCTCTTGTAGTAGAGAAATTGTGTTGGTTTGGCAGGAAATGGAAAGAAGAAGATGAAGATAGAAAGAAAGAAAGGATGATTCCTTCCCAATATAATAATTTTTTTTTTTGGTGGAGGAAGATGAAGAAAGAGAGTGGGTGAGTGCCCCCTTTTAATGGATTTGGGGGGTGTTGTTGGATTGGACTGATTTCGCCACATGGAATTTAATAAAATCTCTGGCTATGGCGGATGGCCACTCTGCTCCTCAAATGCTCTCATTTTCAAAGGTGGAACAGTCTCCCTCTTACCCCCTTTCTCTATCATTTCTTTCCTTTTCCCTAATAATTTTCTCTTTTCTCTAATATATGATTTTGTTGTTTAATAACTTGTTAGTGTTAATCTTCTTGGGGTCTGGGTTTTGGAGATAGATTTTTTTTTTGGTGGGGGGACTCGGTCCATGGGTTTTTTGCCCCTTTGTTGGAGTTATTAATCTTGTTCTTGACCGTGGTTAGTAGTTAGCTAACCTTGGCCTTTTTGGTTATTTATTTATTAGAATTTAGAATTGTAAAATGAAGAAGCAGATCCTACCGACCAGCTGTGATGTGTTGCATGCAAGGAGAGAGTGCCATTTGTTTGCTTTGTTCCATTCCACCCGCCGCGCACATTACATTGCCACACTGACAGGCAGTGCTTCCGTTCCACTGATGCCAAGTAGTCTGCAATGCATGCCGCTGCTTTCTTTTGTTTTTCACGGTCAATCTGTTCCACCAAAAGATTGTTCAACTTAGAGAATTTACATTATGTTTACGCTATTTATATGATGATTTTTTTTTTTTGCACGGACGAGACTGTTGGTACCATAGCTCAAAATCGAAAGACTGGAATTGTGATATAGTAGCGAGCCACATTTCTTTTCTTTAATAAAAAAAAATCTCATCTTCGGTAAAGTCTTTGTAATAAGCGGGGAGCGGATCAGGTCAGTAACATTATGGTAAGTAATCATAAGTAATCCGTCCACATCAGCATGACATAAGCATTTCTCTTTCTCCTAAAAAGTATTTTATCTTTTCACCTTTAATATTTAATGGATGATTTCTCTATCGTTTTAAGTCGAAATTTAATTTTTTTTTTACATAGGTAAATCAGATTAAATGTGCTCTTTAAAATGATATTCACTTTGATATATTTTTAGTACAAAAAAATTTGGTCATTTTTTACCAGTCATTACCATATGGTATTAAATAATGCCCCTACCATTTTTGATTGAAGAACTATTTATATGATAAAAAAGCGTACAATGATGGTATGAACATACCAATATGGTAAGAAGGTTAAATACATGATAGTGAAAGTATACTAACTGTCATTTACGACTTTCATCATTGTTTACTACAAGTTACCACCTGCATAACATAGTGGTAAAGTATTGTAATTTTTTGTCCAGTATTTTTTTCACCCAGAAATTTGTAGATCTAGTAGATCATGATGAACTCGTTCCTTCTGAGCAAACGTTTTAAAAAATGACTTAAAAAGCGAAGAAGTTACCATATGATATGTAATTGGTAATAGGTGGTATGAAAAAAATATCTCAAAATATATTGAAAATTGATCTAATTTTGTAGAGCACAACGAACTGGTTCCATCTTTGCAAAAAAAAAAAAATTTGAAATCCGAGTTAGAACGCAGAAGATAAGAGTCGATTAAGAAAACTAGGGAAAATAAAATGTCTTTAATTGACAACCCTTATATCTGAATTTTCTGAGCCCACTTAGATCTAAAGATTCAGATTTAGTTACTCATATGTCAGTAACAAATGGTTACCGACCCTATCCTAAGCCTAACTAGGGAGCTCAATTAGTACGATAATGTTCGCTTTGTGCCAAGCTCGCACGGTTTTACTTTTGGGTGTCCTCCCCAAAAGGTCTCGCACTAATTGGGCTAGTTGGACACTAATATACAAGGGTTCCTTCCCTTGTATTTCCGATGTGGTACTTGGATTGTCCCATAACAATCCTCCCCTCAAGACAAGGACCACGAACTTCGTGTCCTCACCTCAACGATTATCTTGATCCTCCAGACATCTTGTATTGATGGAGTCCGGATCTGGTGACTAAGGGGGGGTCCTTAGTCACTTGACTAAGCCCCCCTCAGCCCTTGGATTGATCTAATGGTCCAGATAACTCAATCAATTATTATTAAATAAGAAGGGTAGTTTTGGTATTATCAATAATTTATTAACTCCTATTTTTTAATTTTGTTTTATTTATTATTGAATTTTTTTTCCTCTGCAACACGTCTCCTTACTTTCCCTTTTTTGTGATGTAGAGAGAGAGAGAGCCATGGCGGAGGAAACACAGATTGCAACGCCGGCGGATGAGAGAGAGAAAGTCGACGATCTCGACGGCGCCGACGACGGTGGAGAGAGGGAAAGGAGATCGCGATTTTTCCTCCAGTCATCCTCCTCTGCGTCGCCATTGCAGGCCATAGGAGAGAGAGAGAAAAGCAGCAGCGGGGAGAGAAGGACGTCGACGGTGGAAGAGAGGGGGGCGACGGCGAGGAGATCTCACCCGCGTCGGCGACGATGGAGAGAGGGAAAGACGATCGCGACGGAGGCGGTGGAAGAGAGATAAAGTAGATCTGTTGCCGGGAAAACAGAGGTAACGACGGCTGTAGAGAGAGTCGGCGGCGGCGGCGGCGGCGGCGGTGGAGAGACATCGTCTGAAGGAAGAACAGTGATTTGTATAGTTTGTATGTTTTGTAACATTAGTTTGTATTGTTAGTATGTTTGTACAAAATGTCAGTATGGTTTGTATTTTTTTCTTTGACAGTTTGTACTCTTAGTATGTTTTTCTTTGACAGTTTGTATTCTTAGTATGATTTTCTTTGACAGTTTGTATTCTTAGTATGTTTTTCTTTGACAGTTTGTATTCTTAGTATGTTTTGCTTGTATTCTTAGTATGTTTCGCTTTGTATTGTAAGTACTAATAATTTGTATACTTTATATGTATTGATTTGTGATGCAAAAAACATTACAAACATGGTTGACAAAAATGTGGACAAAAATAACAAACATTACAAACAGTACAAAAGAAACCAACAAACATTACAAACATTACAAAATAACAAACATTACAAACATTGCAAACAAACATTACAAACATTACAAACAAACATTACAAACAGTACAAAGCATACTACACGTACAGAATATCACTACTTACAATACAGATTGGTAAACTTGTATTACAAACAAATGAATACAAAGTATACAAATCATAACATAAAAGTATACAAACTTGAATAACAAAAGTTACAAATACAAATCAATGAATAGAAAGTGCATAAATCATAACATAAAGTATACAAACTAGACAAACAAACATTACTAACATTACAAACATTACAATGTATACAAAATAGTAATATAAACATTACAAACATCACGAACTCAAATACTGTTGTCGGAAAACCATCCACCACCGTCTCTGGTCGCCGGAAAATTGCTCCGCCGTCGCCGGAAAAGCTCTCTCTCTCTCTCTCTATCTCTCTCTCTCTCTCTCTCTCTCTCTCGCTCGGAATTCCAGTGGAATAATGATAATGGCCGATGGAGAGAGAGTCTGGGGCAATTGCCCTGCATTAATGGCGGATGGAGAAGAATTCTCCTGCCCAGAATTTTTTTGCCCGGAAATTGGACGGAGGCGGCGCAAGGGACGGGGCCGGAAATTGGACGGAGAAAGGAGGCGGCGCGGACATGGACAGCTAATTTTTTTTATATTCATTTTATAATTAAAAATAAATATTAAACATGCAATTACTATGTTGTCCTTCCTTAAAATGAATTAATTGTAGCCTTAGGATTTTAATGAGCATGGAAGGCTCAGATTGACTTAGCCAAGTGACTAAGGGTACCCCCCTTAGTCACCTGATCTTAGCCCTTGATGGGCTTCTCGACAAAAGGATTTTTCGAAATGCAGAACTCTCTTTGATTTGCAAAATAAAACGCGAATCTTTCTTGATCCGCCAAGCCCAAACGTGGATCTCTCCTGGATCCACCAAACAGACGCGAATCCCAAATCCCTAGGCCACCGAATGAGGGTCCCACCGAACTAATGCCACCACCCCGGATCCGCCGAACCGGGCTCTGATACCACTTGTCGTAACCGGGGAGCTCAACTAGTATGATATTGTCCGCTTTGAGCCTAGCCCGCACGGTTTTACTCTGGGGTATCCTCCCAAAAGGCCTCGTACTAATTGGGTTGGTGGACACTAATATAGAAGGGTTCCTTCCCTTGTATTCCGATGTGGTACTTGGATTGTCCTCATAACAATCCTCCCCTCAAGACAAGGACCACATACTTCGTGTCCTCTTCTCAGCGATTATCTTAATCCGCCAAACGCCTTGTATCGATGGGCTTCTCGATACAAGGACTTTACCAAACGCAGAACTCTCTTTGATCTGCTTCCTAAATGTGGAATTCTCTTTGATCCGCCAAGCCCAAACATGGATCTCTCCTTGATCCACCAAACGAGACGCAAATCACCTTTGACTCGCCATACAAACGCAAATCTCAAATCCCGAGGTCACCGAATGAGGGTCCCACCAAACTGATATCCACCGTCCTGGATCCGCCGAACCATACTCTGATACCACTTGTCGAAATCGGGCTGCTCAATTAGTACGATATTGTCCACTTTGGGCCAAAGCCCGCACGGTTTTACTCTTGGGTGTCCTCCCAAAAAGGCCTCGTACTAATTGGGCTAGTTGGACACTAATATACAAGGGTTCCTTCCCTTGTATTACCGATGTGGTACTTGGATTGTCCCATAACAATCCTCCCCTCAAGAGAAGGACCACGAACTTCGCGTCCTCACCTCAACGATTATCTAGATCCGCCAGACATCTTGTATCGATGGGCTTCTCGGTACAAAGATTTTCCAAACGCAGAATTTCTTTGATCTGCCAAATCAAATGCGAATCTCTCTTGATCCGCCAAGCCCAAACACGGATCTCTCCTGGACCCACCAAACAAACGCGAATCGCAAATCCCGAGGCCACCGAATGAGGGTCCCACCTAGGGATGGCAAAAATATCTGTAACCGTGGATATCCGCCCGAATCCGACCTAATCGG